GACCAAACTGAATAAAAAAGTCCTGTACCATTTTGCGATCTTCGCAATAGTTATCAAGATACTAATCATTAAAAAAAAAAATTTACATAATGGCCAAGTTTTTGCTTCACTATTCTATTGATCATTTTAATAACTCTAAGTCTGTTTTACGAAACTTAAAGTTATTTGGAAAGACAATGGCATTAAACTTTTGCTGCATATAATTTTGAATAATTTAAACGATTTATTAAAAAAATATTTTTGTGGTTTGGAATAAAATATTTTTGTCTCTATGTCTAATCAAATACTTGGCAATTTGTATGATCTCATATTTGTTTTTGGATAACTTTTATTTGTTAAAATTATATTTTTGGTTTAGATAAAATGTACCTTATGTACGATACACTTGTATATACCTGGCGTAAATTTTTTTTAATGATTAATATCTCGATAACTACTGCGAAGATCGCAAAATGGTAAAGGACTTTTTTGTTCAGTTTGGTCCACACTACCTGCCCACAAGCGCTGTACCATTGAGTACGAGACACCCTGTATAAAATGGAATTATTGTTAATCGTAGCCGACATAAAAATTAACCAATCACGCGACCAAAGAATATCACCATGCTGTACATACCTGGCGTGTGATTGGCTGGCTTTTTGCATGCGCGTTATGCAATTACGCAGGTCTGTCAGTATTCTCACAATCACGGTAACCTCAATTTCTCTTGATTTTCTCAGATTTTCTCGGCGCCCTTGGGGCTTGGCGGCCTCGGCGAAGCTGAATATGGGTAAATAAACATTCATCGGTTTCACCTAACTTGAGGTGTCCTGAATTGTCATCGGCTCGCTAGAGAGGAATCGAGGAATCTGAAATTAAAACTACTGGACATGTAGATGGTCATATATCGATGGTATATAATAAAAATATTTTTCTCTGTAAGTCAGTGATGCACGTAATAATTTTGAATTGTGAACGTAACGCAAGAATATATGAAACAGATGCTGTAAAATCAGTATCATGTGATTAGATAAAGGTCTATTCTCTGCAGCTAAACTAGTATACACTCATTGTATTTAAAATAAAATAAGTATTCAAAGTTTGGCGAAAGCGGAATAAAAAGTTTTAGTGGAATCCAATGCAACAAGGAACAAGATTAATATCAATAGTTGCAGTTAAAAAAAAATAACATTTTGAAATTGGAAAATGTAACATCCTTATTTTGGACATTTGATATGTTACAGAAAATTGAAGTTTTGGGCCTTACATTAGGCTGGAGATAATACTGGCTGCCAAAGATATCACAGTCACTCTATGTTCTTTAATAGAGATCTAATAGAGATCCGCTCGATTATCTTCTTACTCGTTAATTAACTTCATCTTCAATTGTATATTTAAAAACTGATAAAGGAGACATGCATACAACACGCGCCGACACTTCCGAAAGGCGATTTGAGATCCAGTGCAAACTAGAGTCGGAGATCGCTGCTCTGGAAGCTCTAAAGGAAGCGGAGGAACGCAGCCGACGATTGACGAGTGGAGTAGTGGGAATACTCTCTTCCTTGGAAGATCGTTTAGCTACGCTGCGCCGTACGATACTTCCTGTTTACAATGAGACTGGAAACCTCCAAGCTCAGCAACACAGTATGTATTTGATATTTTCTCAGATAGCCAAGTCTGCAAAAACAAATTTTGAACTGAGTATACTACCAATTTCTAATGACGGAAAAGCAGCGAATTTCACATGGAGTTTGTAATATCTAACGATTTTCGTAAATTGCCACCAGACATATAACAAAGTCTGCTGATGTGCTAGTAAATTAATGGCAAAGATTAAATAGAATTTGCAGCTCCTGTTCAATTTCTGTCGTCAGATTGCCCACATGCATAGATCTTGCTCAGTTTCTCGGGCTGTTTGCTGAAATCTTGTACAAAATTTTAAGAATGGAATTCCTGGATTTTCCAGGTTTTTACTCAAAATTCCAGATAAATTAGATCAGTTTATAATGTAACTTTGAAATAAATTGGAGTAAGCAACACAAACAAATTATATATTGTAAGTTAGCAAGAAAAAAGAATTTAAATTTTAAAGTAAAATTCCAAAAATTTCTCCGAGTATTGATAAAATTATTGGAAAATATCAGATTTTCCAGGTTTCTGCAGGTAGTAAACATCCTGGTTCCTATCGTAAATCTGCTGATCTTGTTCTGATCAAATCTGCTGTCCGTTTTGACATATTAACATTTTGCTCTTGAAATTATTTCATATATTCCAAAGTCAAACCCTCTTTGTCAAGATTGTCTTAACATCTTTCCTCGCTCTTACATTACAGATATAGAGAAGACTTTAAGCGTATTGGATCACGCTATTGGATACTATGGCGTGTGTCAAGAGGTAGAAGCCGTAGTACGCGCCGAACCGAGCGGACCTGGCGGTCTGGACGGCTTTCTCGAGGCCATGAATCGACTGTACAACGCTCAGCGGTACTTCCAGAAAAACAATCCTAGCTCGGTCGAGTTACAAAACGTCACAGGTCTCTTCTCGATCGGCCTAGAATCGCTTTACGCCGAGTTCCATGATATTCTCAATCGCCAAAGTAGACCGATCCTTCCTATCGTGCTTCTGGATCTAATCGGCTCTGACGAGGATACGAGCGGCGAGGATGCGCCGCAGTCCCTGTGCCAACTGCCCGAGAGTGTTATGAGCGACTTGCTCAAGATCGCCGAATGGCTCGAGGAAAGGGGCCATCGTAGGCATACAAAGATGTACGCTTCCGTGCGTTCTGGTATTGTCTTGAGATCTCTACTACTGCTCAAGGAACATCAGAAGAGCGCCAGCGGTGGTAGCACCCACGGTGGAAGTCCTATGCCTGTAAATAAATAATATCTTTCTACACTTAACTTTACCAGTTAAATATCTCGAAACTTGTAAGTTTTAGAAGAAAACTTTTTAGACAAAAGTTGTATAGTATATAGAAGGGGACAAATAATGGTAAAATTAATTTTTGAAAAAAAATTTTTCAATATTATATGAAGGTTATATCAAAGATTATATTTTTTTAAATGGAATTATATAATTTTTGTTTACATAATATTCTTCCTGTTACTTTGCGTATAAAAGTATTAGGAAAAGTTATCGAAAAGTCAATAGTTTACGAGGTATTTTACACTAAATTCTGACATATTTGATATAAAGAAAACATACAGTTGGTTTTCAAAAAAGATATGTAGTTTTATATTGCAAATTGTATAATGTTTTTGAAAAGCAATTGTGCGTTTTCTTTATACTAATTCACCTCAATGTTCTATGCATATTAAGGTATACTTAGTTATCAAATAATGAATAGTTTACAAGGTATATTATATTTCATGTCAAAATGTACTAGAATAATGTAAAATATCTCGTAAACTATTGATTTTTCGATAACTTTAATATTTTTATGTGTAGAATAACTTGAAAGAATCATATTATATAAAAAAATTTTATAATTGTCTTTTAAAAAATGACAATAATCTTCATGTGGTCTTGAAAAATTAATTTTTTTCAGAAATTAATTTTATTTGTTCCCTTCTAGATCATGCAACTTTCGTCTAAAAAATTTTCTTCTAAAACTTACGGATTTTAGAAGATATTTGATTAGCAAAGTTAAAATAGGACATCCTGTACATGTAGAAATATGTAATTTTTTTAGATATTATCTACGTTAACATGAATATATTATTCACAGCGAACGAAATTCGCTAACCGACACTCTCTGGACGGTCAGGACGCGGGGCGCAAAGCGTCGCGGCGGCTGCAGCACGCATTGGACAAGGCCAACCGAATGCTGTTAAAAGCATCGCAAACGACGAGGCTGAACCTGGCCCTGAATTCAGTGTCCAGGAAACCGACGCAGCTCACTCCGTACTCGATAGAGGACGCGGCGCCCGACGAGCAGGAGATGGAGAACTATCTCCTGCTGGCAGCCGGTCTGCACAAACTCATACAAGCCGAGCGTGCGCTGGTCGCAAAGATCCTGCCGGCTTCGCTGCAGGCGCAAGTGCTCGAGGCCACCGTGCGCGACGCGATGGATCTGGTCGCGCATGATGGGGACAGCATAGCTACGCGCGCCAAACGCTGTATCACGAGGCGCGATTTCTCTGCCGTTCTCGTGGTTTTCCCGATTTTGAAGCATCTCGGCGAACTGAAGCCCGATCTCGAAAGAACGGTCGAGGATTGCGACTACGCGCTGCGCTCCAAGTTCGCATCTATGCTCGATACATTACATACAACCGTACGTTTCAACTTATATTCTTACGTTTAGATTACGTTTAGATTTAGACGGCCCTGTATGATCTGAATTTTTATTTTAAATAGCAAAATTTTGAATTTTAAATATTTTTAAAGATATTTAACATTATTATTATTATTATTATTATTAACGTTTTAAATTAATTGTCAGGATTTGAAATTAATTACCAAGATCAAATTTATGAAAGGTTTCTCTGAAATTACGGTTTCTTGTAAATACTTGATAATAATAATAATAATACAACTTGAAAGACGGTCCCCTGTCGAAGATCCGTCAACGACACGCAGACATAATCCATTGTGTCTTCCTGGCAGAACTAACCCCAGGTTAGTTAAGACCTGTTTTCCTCCAGAAATAGGGGGTCCCCGACTTGGAGTTGCCAAACCTGCTCAGGCTCGAGAAATTCCGAGCCCAATAGTATTCGTCTTTGTCCAGCATAGGCTGGACATTGACACAGCACGTGGAGACTCGTCTCCTCGTCGTGGCCGCTTTCTACATTTTGGGATGTTACAGCTTGTACATGTGGTAGTTGATGAAGCTGTGGCCCGTGTATTATAAATATTTAATCAGTGGATTAAAAAAGAACATATAGTGCTAGCAACTATAAAGGTGATGACTATACTTTTACATGTAGAATTAATGTACATGATTGAATAAACTTGTGTATATAGTTTAAAATTTTTTTATAATTGCAGTAACTATTTTATAGTAATTGTAATTATGAAATATATTATAACTATAAGTTAATAATTATTGTTAGTTAATTCAACTATGTACATTAATTCCACATATAAAACGTATATAGTTGTTAACTTTATAGCTGCCAATACTACATCTTTTTCTCTTATATTCTTCAAAATACGTTGAGTCTTATTAGCAAATATGTTTTATCCAATATTTTTAAAAATGAAATCGTGAGTAAAGTGTGATTCAGTATCTTCCGGTTCATATGCAATGATTGCGACACATAGATGTGCTCATCAAGTGAATCATACAAAAAAAGATTTTCATATGTTTTGTATGTTTTATACATTTCCAACATCGTTTTATTCGCGATATTTTAGTATATTTTTTATATATTTGTACTAAAAGATTATACTTCAATATATGCAAATTAAATCATTCACTTTTGAGAAATGCTATTAATAGCAACGTATGATATTAATATACAAGTGACGAAAGAATTATTACGAATAAAAATTGATAAGATTTTAAGTATTTGTTTAACTATTTTGATGCGTTAATTATTTGTTATAAATTGAAGAAGAAATCTGGTCTAAAAAGCAATTTTTAAAGTAAATTTCATGAATTTTTTAAAGAAAAGCTATGAGCATAGACATTTTTTCTAATGTAAGATGTATTTTAGATATATATTTATTCATATTTAAATTATACGAATTTTTGAAAATCTCTAAGCTCAATATTTTTGAAGCTATAAACCGCTACTTATATTTCCATGTTCAATAGCTTTTCTCTTAAAAAATTATGAAATTTACCTTGAAAATCGCTTTTCAAACTTTCCCTATTAAGAGAGATTTGTCAAATTATTGAAGGTACACTTGTGAATTTATTTCGAGGAAAGGAAAAAATAGACACAATTCTTTGTTTATTTATTATCATATTGGAGATGTAGAAAATTAATTTGTAATATGAAGGTTTTTAAGAATGTAGAAGTTTTCTACATTAAAAATAAAATTTGAAATCTGAAAATTTCGAGTTTTGCCACGATTCCGTGACTTTTAAAGAAGTAATACTTTCTGATCTAATTTTCTTTAAAACACTTTGTTCTATGGATCAAATCTAAAATGAAACATTAGAAAAGTGTTAAAACGGTACGAACATAAATAATATTAGTTTTTATGCGAAAATATTTTTTACACGAATTTTACATTTATGTTATCATTTTGTGATATTTTTCTAATAGTCTATTTTATGTTCAATCTGTAGAGTAAAGAATGTGTTTTGAGAAAAACTAGACTAGACAATAGCATATTGCTTTCTTAGAAATTACAAAATCGTGGCAAGATATTCGAAATATTCGGGATTATTTTCAATAACAAAAAAATCCTATATTCTTAATAAATTTTATATTACAAATTAACATTCCTACATTTCAAATATAGTAGTAAATAACATTTAAACTGTATCCATTTATTACTTTCTCTCAAATAAATTCGTAAATATTGAGTCTAATTTAATCATATAAATTTCCTCCTGTCTTAAGAATACAAAAAAAAATTGCGTACTCAACATAATGAAACAAAATATTTAATTTTTGTAGGGCGCTAAAGCTTTGGAAGAGTTTGCGGAAAGCGTGAGGAATGAATCCGGCGCGGGTTTGCCCAAGGATGGTACTGTGGCGGAAGGAACTAGCAATGTCCTGGTCTTTCTGGAGCAACTAGCCGAATACGCGGATATGGCTGGCGCTGTTCTTCGACGCAATCTCATCACAGACCAATCTGCGTTGTACTCAAAAGATCCAGAAAATGTACATAAAATGGTTCTCGGTGTATATATCAGTAAGTCTGTGTGCATATCTCATCGTTTATCCTCCGTAATTAAAACATAAACCGGTTAAAAAGAGAAAATCATTAATCTGTGTGTTTTGTCCTTTTGCAGAAAAGGTTCTTGCTCAATTGAATCTGGCGCTAGTGAGTAAAAGCGACGCGTCTTATTCCGATCTCGCTTTACGAGCTTTATTTCGGCTGAATAATCATAATTACGTAGTTAACGCTCTCTGTCGAAGTTCTCTTATGGAGCTACTCTTATTGGCCGAGCCAAGTGCGGAACAAACATATCACGATCTACTTCTCAAAGACAAGATCAATTACGTTACTACGACATTCACCAAGGCCCGATCGTATCTCGCAGACGAGCCAGGTTTGTGCCCAAACATAAAGTTCCTTTGCGAAAAGTTAGATAACGTAAAGTTTCTTTATAACAATGTGTATCCTGACCGTCCGTGTATAACACAAATTAAATTGATAGAAAGGCCATCCGCAGTCATAGCAGGATGTCGGTACTTTAAATATTTCTATTGTCAATTTATATACATATTCTAGATTATTGCGATGAATATTACCACATGCCTCGGTGGTCGAGCTGGTTAAGACTCCCCCCCCCCGAAAAGTCGGGAAGTCCCAGGCTCAAATCATGGCTGAGGTAATATTTTTCGCAGCAAATAATTCTTTATATCACGTCGTTGGAGTAAAAGGGATTTTATTAGATATCGTTGAGCATCAGTATTTATTAAATTGATTATCAATTTAATAATCGTGATAATATTGTTCTATTTCAAGCAAAGAGCTGTGTTGAATCTGTAAGTAACGACACGCAGTTCGTGAAACTAGAATATGTATATAAATTCACATAGAAATATTAGGCGCACCAAGATCCTGCTATGACTACGGATAGCCTTTCTATCAATTTAATTTGTGTAAAATTTCTTGTTTATAGCTTTCAACGAAGCTACGAACAAGATTCCAAATACCTCTCGCAAGTCACAGAAAGAAATAGCAAAAAAAACCACATACTTGTGTTTAGATCGCATTCATAATATCGTGTATTGTTAGTCTACTTTCTGAAACAATCACGGAAGTGTTCAACAATTAGCGGATCTTATTTTAATTGTTAATCGCATTAATTTCCGCACGCGTATAGATCTCGGCGCCAAAACGTTGAAGGAGAAGTTCTTGGGTTTCGCGCGAGAACTCGAGGAAGTGGCCAAGTGTCAACGTTCTTACTCGGTGCCGGACAGACGTCTGCGCGAGGAGTTAAGGAAGGAGCTGCACGAGGCGATCGTGCCGCTGTACACCTCGTTCCACAACAAGTATCGCGGCACGTCGTTCTCGAAGAATCCGGCGAAATACATCAAGTACACGCCCGACCAGATAACGGCGCTGATCAACACGTTTTACGACACCGCCGCGTAATAATGTATACACGCGTAACCGCCGTAAAATGTCGTGCCGAAGATTGTTTTTTTTTCTCTTGACGAAGGAATTAGCAGAGTATTTAATAAACACCCATTTAATAAAGCATATTTAGTTACAATAGTTCTTTTTTTTAGTGATTCTTTTCCATACGGACCGAATCTTCATTTCTTTCTCAAACAGATTGCACAGAGATTAATATGGATCTGCGATGATTGAGTTTAGTTAGGTCTTGGTCCAGCTTCCCCCCTCCCCCGCGTTTTGTTTTATATATATTTATAATATATATATAAAAAACAAGTAACGATTTAGATTCGATCAGCGACTTATGTATATAGCTCATATTACCACTACTACAGTATACGCATACATTACGTAAAATCGTATAGTGTATACTATACGTGGTAATAAGTAGGAATACATTTGAAGTTTCAGCATTTATGTACAGTTGTTACGTTATAGCATATTTTTCTCTCGTTACATCACACACTCATGCTTCTCATATTCGTTCTCACTTTTTCACATACACAAAACATTTGCCCGTCCTCTGCTTCGGTATAATCGCATTTTGTTTTTTTAATGCAGCATTCTGTTTAAATGCAACATTTTATTTTTTTTTTCTTTTTTCCCTTTTTTTATATTCCAGCTCGATGACACGCAGTAATTCCTATGAAAAAGAACGTGAATACATTGTGTGGCACCAATCACAGATCGTCATCAAGAAAACATTTGCCGAGCGAAACAACACGAAGCAGAGAAATCTTTAAACGCTCGATTTGACATTTATACTTGTATCACATACATCTAGAACTCTTGTATACAGTTAGCTATTTTTTTTCTCTTTCTTAAATTACAGTATGTAACATTTACGATAAATGTTTAACCAATTTAGTGGAAGAAGGAAGCCATGTTATGCAGCCGCTGCGCTATCGATTCCGCTTGGAAAATATAGCTATCAGTTTTTTTTTTTCAATTTTTCGCGTATCTATCGGTTAATTATTCGTTTCAGAATCGTCACGAACTGATACCTTCGAGAAGCAGAAACTATTGTTAAACTATTGAACAAAATTAAATATAGGACGTGCACAGTGAACATTGAATGGCATTCGATTACATATCTAACGCCTTCAATTGGATAGATTTTATATACAATTTCTCAAATAAACCTAGGACCTTTTACGAAACGTAACAGATCGGTGTTTTTCAGAGACTAATTAATTTTCTTTGTGAAAGCAACTCTCTGTCTCTCTCTTTCTCTTTCTCTCTCTCTGTTGAAGCTTTGTTAAAGCCTTCTTCAGGTGAACATATTGCATTGAAAAAATGCTCAGAATCAAAAGAAATACTTATGGTTGCTCTAAGTACTTGGAGAAATGTATATATGCGTGGAGTTATCGTTATTCACATTTATATAATGAACATCTATATGAATATCGTCCAAACAGGTTGTTTGCCATGTGTATTCTACGCAAAAAATATTCTCTCTCCCCCTTTTTCTCTCCGAATTTACTTGATGCATATTGAAATCTTTCGCAATAAGGAAAACTACTCTATATTTTTCTCCTTTTTATTCTTCCCCACATTTTAAATGTGTTAACTATACGTGTCCTACCTAAAATGTACAATGGCAAATAGCATAAAATGGTTTTCCTCTTTGATTAAACTGATCAGTATACAGTCAGTGTGTTTGGACGCTTATACAATTATTATGGTAATATTTGCTTTTTTTCTTTTTACCATTCATTATATAATTATTAATTGTAATATTAATAACGTACTTCTAGTATACTGTACAGTGGTTAGTTCAGTTATTTTGGCTTCTTTTACACTCCTTTCGCTTAGAACATCCAGTCGATTCGCATTTAATAGCCCTATAATGTGATTTAGACTGTCTAGACTGGAAGTTTTGCTCATGTCGACAGCAGAAATTCCTTCGTGATTCTTTTTCTCCCCTCTCCTTTAAGATGTGTGATGGAGAATCTCACGTAAGAATAAATTTTATATATCCCGAATTCACGATTCCACGTGTATGAACCCTCTTTTGTTTTGCTCGCTGGAAATTTTTTTATTACCGAACTGACGTTTGTGCGCTTATGCTGGCAGATGTTTGGCAGCAGCCTCTTTGCTGAACGTAGGCTGGTACAACTGGGGTTCCCAAATAGTCAGTAAATTCACCCGATCGATTCGATTAGTGCTTGGTACACTGGAGACAGGTAACACTTTCAACACATTCCAGTACCAACGTGCAAAGAGGGATACATTTAATATTATAGAAGGAAACATCTGCGCTTTGGCTTCACTTGCAGAACGGGGCATAGTACGGCGCGTATCGCCTCGTCGAACACAGTCTTCAGACCTTTCTGTGTCAGAGCGGAGCATTCCAAATATTTGACAGCGCCAATCTCCTTTGCCATTGCTAAACCCTGTCGTAAATGAGATATTTTGATATTTAATAACGTCCCAAATATTGTAACAATTATTGGATATACTAAATGAAACCATTGTCCGCGTCTTATCACAATTTTCTTAATATTGGATGGAACCGTAAGTTTGTTTGGTCACATATTTAAATGCTTTAAGCATTAAAGCATTATGCATAAAAAGCATGAATTATTAAAGCTTTATACTTTAATACATATAACATTACGTTTGAATTTTACTAAAAAAATTAAAAAATCAAACAAACTTACGATCTAAATTCGCAATATATTTGGTATGCAAATAAAACGCTGACTTTAATCATTATCACTCTCTCTTTTTTCTCTACACTGACATACACTTATAATTTTAATCCAAACGTATAATTTTCGTGTTTAAGTATTGACAAGGAAACATTTTATATTGCAAAAGTAATATCAAGAAACTAACGTTACTAGTCGAAAGATCATGATTGTTGAAATAAGTATTCTAGATAACCAAATCTTGGGATCCTATGGATTCTGTATCCAACTTAGGCCAAAACATGTTTGGCTATTTTAACATAGACACCAAAATATCTCGAAAACAATGCATTAAAAAAAGGTTTTAAATAAAAGTTGTAGGGTTCAAAAGGGACCATCAAAGGCTGTACTTAGATTTTAGATACAGGACCCACTTTGGGCCTAATAAAGTCCGAGTTGATTTTTTCGATGGAAATGCTTATGTCTTAGATTCCTATTTTATAGAAAAAAAAAAATAAAGAAAATCTATTCCTGATAATTAAAGTCTTGCCTTCATTGGCAGGATCGTTTCCATAGTATTACCTTCATTAATCGAATTGTCCTTTGGTATTGTCTTCATTGGCTGGAATGGATTTCAAAATAAGAACTTTATTTTATGCCTGTTGGAGGAGGTTTTTAGCAAAAAATTATCAAGAACAGATTTTCCTTATTTTTTTTCCATAGAATATGGAATCCGCAGTAAAACATAAGCATTTCCATCAAACAACTCAACCTGGGTTTTATTGGACTGAAAGTGGGTCCTGGATCCAAAATCTAAGTACATCATATAATGATCCCCTTCGAACCCTACAACTGTATTTGAAAGATTTTTTTCAAAAATGCATTGTTTTCGAGACATTTTGGTGTCTATGTTAAAATGGTCAAACATGTTTCAACCTAGGATACAGAATCCATAGGATCCCAAGATTTGATCACCTAGAATACCTATTTTAAACATATTTCAACTAGTAACGTTAGTTTCTTGATATCACTTTTGCAATATATAAAACGTTCCCTTGTGAGTCTTTGCACAATCGCATAGCAATATTGCATACTTTACGAAGAGTAACGTGATCAAGACAAACCTGAGGGTAAGTAATGGGGGCTAATTTTTTGTCTTTCAAACGCTCGATGGTCTCCTTGTCCTCGCGCAGATCCAGCTTAGTGCCGACCAAGATAATCGGAGTGGCGGGACAGTGGTGGCGTACTTCCGGATACCACTTGGCGCGCACGTTCTCGAAACTCGCCGGGTTCACCAGCGAGAAGCAGATCAGAAAGACGTCGGTTTGCGGATAGGATAGCGGCCGTAGTCTGTCGTAATCCTCCTGCCCCGCCGTGTCCCACAGACCGAGATTAATCGGCTTCCCGTCGACCATCACGTTCGCGGAATAGTTGTCGAATACCGTTGGAATGTACTCCCCGGGAAATGCATTGGTGGTGTAGCTTATCAGTAGGCATGTTTTACCCACCGCACTGTAAGGGAAACAGAATTACGACTGAATTAAAACGCGTAGTCATTCATTGCTCCATCCACTTATATACACGCGAATATAAAGAACGAATTCTCATCGGAAAAGCAACATCTCGCTCGGATGAATCATCGCGCGAGAAAAGTAGAATTTCCGTGAATTCATTTCACAACAATCGGAACAAGTCTTTCGGAGCATAGTCTTTGAAACTAATGGGCCGACAAATCGTGCATTAAGTTATCGCGGCGCGACGACGAGAAGTCGGGAGCGTAGCGTAGAGCATGGAGCGCGTGCCGCTGCGCGACGACACAGGGAGAAAACGTGACGTTCTCGTGAAGACACACGTGAACACACGTCAACGTCGTGCCGCGCGCGCGGCAAGGTCCGCACACACGGGCGTGGTGGCTGACCTCGCTGGCGAGACGAGGTGGCCGCACCGTCGCTCGCCGCGGTCCAGGAAAGTGGGAAAAGATGATCGAGGGAGTTCGGAGGGTTCCGTCCGGAAGGATCCATTCGAAGGTAACCGTCCTCGGTGAAGATCCGGCCGTGAGGACGGCGAATCTCCGCGAGTCGTCCCTCGTCGCTCCCGCTCCCGGAGGAAGTCTCCGGATACGCGGCTGCGACGGGGCCGCTTCTCCGCGGTGGTCCTCGCATGCTACGTACCCGTCGCCGACGACCACGCACTTGATGGCTTGCATCCTGGATGTCCGATGTCGTCGGTAAGTGATATACACACGGAAGCACGTATAAAATCGCACGATGCACTAAGTCGATTCTAAGCGGGAGGGAGAGAGAGATAGATAGAGAGAGAGAGAAAGAGAGAGAGAAGAGAGAGGGCGGGAGAGGAAGAGACAAACGGCGCGGGATGTACGCGACAGGAAGAGGGCAGCGATGACGGAGGGGGAGAAGAAAGAGGAGGGGAAGGAAGAGGAGCGCGAGAGGACAGAGGAGGAAGGGGGGCGGGGAGGGAGGAGGGCGTTAAAGAGAAGAGGTCGCGGGAGGAAGCGCGACAGACGCAGCGATGCGATTGAGGTTAGAGCGCGACGCAGATACGTGACGGAGGCGCGATGAACTCCGGCGACTGATTGGTCAGCAGCGCCCGACTGGGTTGGTTACTCGGTTAGCTGGCTTTGCTTGCTTGCTTGTTTTCGGTCGGCCTGAGGGGGCACACTGGGGCACACACGAAAGCGCGACGACGATCGCAGCGGGAGGCATACGGACTGCCCAAGTCGTCGCCCGTCGGCCGCGATGCACACCTCCGGAATTCCTACGCGACTTCCATGCGCACAATTCACTCGCACGACGAGCGGAGCGCTGTGTGTGTCGTGTGAACACTGCGAATGAGTGCCTGTTCATATATTACGATTATCGACATGCTTGCGTAGGCTGTCAGCAGATGGCGACGCCGTCGCCTCGATATCTCGATTTCACGATATGAATTTAGCCGACATTCATAATATATATTTTTTCATTCATTATTTATAATCTATAAATCGATTGAATTTTTAAATAAATTCCTCAATTTCTCCTTATAAAATCGTTTTTTGTAGTTTACATAAAAATTTTTGAAGAGTAATTAAAAAAACTTAATCCACATAATTTTAATTAATAATTAATATATTTATATAGTTGTTCGCTATTTAATATTTCTTTAATTTTTTTTAAGATATTATTAGCATAATGATATAATGATGATACCGCAATATCATTATTAAAATTACTTAAGTCAATTTATAACTTGATATTACTATCGATCCCTGCAGTAGTTTAAGGAATTATAACAATTATTATAACTTGATATATTACTATCCCAGTTTAAAGAAATTATATAAATTGTGTAAAGACCGAAAATTAAATCAGCGCGCAATTTGTACAGAACTTATAGATATATATGAAAATAATATACAGGGTATCTCGTACTCAATGGTGTATAGCGCATTTGCAGTAGGCAGGTAGTGCAGTGGACCAAACTGAACAAAAAAGTCCTCTAGCATTTTGCGATCTTCGCAATAGTTATCGAGATACTAATCATGCATTTTAAAAAAAGAAAAAATTTTACATAATGGCCAAGTTTTTGCTTCACTATGATTCTATTGATCATTTTATAAATAACTTTAATTGTCTGTTTCACGAAACTTAAAGTTATTTGGAAAGACAAATATGGCATTAAACTTTTGCTGCATATAATTTTGAATCATTTATTAGACAATTTATTTAAAAAATATTTTTTCTGATTTGGAATAAAATATTTTTGTCTCTATACTCTCTATGTCTAATCAAATGGCAATTTGTATGATCTCATATTTGTTTTTGGACAACTTTTATTTGTTAAAATAATATTTTTGGTTTAAATAAGATATGTATGTACCTATAATGTACATACGATACACTTGTATATACTAATTGGCATAAATTTTTTTTAAATAATTATAAGTATCTCGATAACTATTGCGAAGATCGCAAAATGGTAGAAGACTTTTTTGTTCAGTTTGGTCCACACTACCTCCACAAGCGCTGTATCATTGAGTACGAGACATCCTGTATATAAAAATATATATAATATATATAAAATTTGTACAGATATTATAACTAGATATAATATACAGGGTGTCTCATAATAGGTGTATCACCGTTCATGGGTAGGTAGAACGGACTAAACTGAATCGAAAAGTCCTCTACCATTTTGCAAAATTCGCAATCGTAAACCAGACATTAATTTTTGAAGATTGACGAATAAACACGTATTCATCCGGCCCACCGCTGAATGCAAGTGCGTGGCAAGATAAGTAGATTAAACTGAACAAAAAAGTCCTCTACTATTTTGTAAAATTCGCGTTTATTAACGAGATATTAAGTTTATTTGCCGATCTTCAAAAATTAATATCTTGTTAACGATTGCGCATTTTGCAAAATGGTAGAGGACTTTTCTGTTTAGTTTAGTCTGTTCTATTTACCCATGAACGGTGATACACCTATTATGAGACACCCTGTATATAAAATTACAAAAATATATATATTAAAGATCACACATTAAAGATCTAGTTCAGACCGGAAAGTCAGTTCCTTTTTGTAATTTGTATATATATTATTACGCAACATTTAATTAATTATACTGACTAAATAAATTAAACATAAAGTTGAAATTAATATTGTATTGCGTATGAAAAGTATTTTAAAGCATAATTGTAAAAATTTGATAGTCATTTTTGAATAATTTAAATTAAAAATTTTAAAAATTGCGTAACCATATATAATTAATATTATAGCCGACATATCGGCGAATGATTCGAATGCTTCACGCTGAGCCCGCCTAGGCCCCTAGACGCGCCTACTCGGATGGCGTCTTGCGCTGTCGATATTGACACTTTGATTCTAGGTTATGTCTCGTTAATCAATTAGAATATTAGCGATTAAGTGATTAGTTTTAAAAAAGGGTGGTATCTTCTTTTTCTCCTTTTTTTCTTTTATAAACATGTAAATGCCGAAACTACAATGCCACGGAAGATACGCGTCATGTTTGCGACCGCGACAGTGTTGGGTATATGTGTCGTGATATTTCAGGTATATACGTAATATAAATGATATATCCGATCACAACCGCACTGACGACTGTGGTCAGCTAATTGATCCTCATAATTTTCAGTTATGCTTAATATTCCGCGGTCGCAAAAGATTGTCCTTTCTCTCAGGTAATTTATCGTTATTATACAACTTATTACCATAGATGTTAGTTATTGCCGTCGATGCTTCTCGACAAAGACTGACGTATCTCGATGTTCTGTCACGCCCAGATGACGACGTGCCTGTTATATTATGGTGGACGCCGTTCGGTAATAACAATCGGATGAAAACCTGCGAGAACTCTAGATGCTACTTTACGCACAATAAAACGTTCGAGAGGGATGCGCGTTTAAAAGTACGATCTCGTCTGCGTCGTTTTTCTTTACATCTCTAGATTTACTCTTTCTACATTTTCTGAATCAATTTTGAATGTGTTGCACATGTCACTGACTTTTGTAGAGTATTCTGTTTTACGGGAGTAATCTCCGGGTTCGTGATTTGCCCAATTGGAGGAGCAGTGCCATATCTTGGGGCTTACTTCACGAAGAATCGCCCAGAAATAATCCTATACTCGTCCATGAAGAGGCGCTTAATCTTTTCAACTACTCTTCGACTTTTAGCAGATTTAGTAACGTACCACTCACGCTTCTTGATTTACCTAGTCTGGAGGAATTAGTAGGTAAATAATAGAAAAATATGACTAACAAAAATTAAATTTTAAAAAATCACTTCTTCCCAAACATAAAAACCAAAATTGAGGCAAACATTTTAAAGACGTTCTCTTTGTGAGAGACGTCTTAAGGTACCTGTTCACTACTATCTTAGATTGTAATGTTAGAAGCGAAAATCTAGACAGCAAGTAGTCCATAAGTGAGTCATAAGATGGTGTTTTTAAAGCTTACTCTACAATAGCCATAAGCCATAAAAATTGACCAATCGAATGTGAAGAGAATAATAGACTATGATGGGTCAATTTTTACGGCTTACAGCTATTATAGAGTAGGCTTAAGACATGCGTACCAGTTCTGAGAAAATACACAATAAAAATTCTTATAAAATATTTTAAAATGAAAATATGAATGTGAAATAAGTGATGTTTCAATAAAGCATCATAATCGATCGAATCAACTTGTAAAATGTCTCGAAAATTTTCTTATTTTATTAATTAATAATTATATATCTAGAAATGAATTATGTATAAGTAACGAAATAAGCTATGTTCACAACTATGACAACTATTACATTAATTATATATACATATATAAGTAGAAATAAATGATTTAATTTCTTTGTGAAACAAAAAGATAGTTTTCAATATATTTTACAAGTCTATTCTATCAATTGCAAATGTTTCATTGTAGACTATTTCTATTTGAATATATTTTATAAAAATTTTTATTAGTATTTCCTCATATCTGACGGTTAGTCACAATTTGAGATAATAGTGATGAGTAGTGGTGAATGAATAGGAACCTTAAAAACGTTTTATTTTCCAATTAGACTTTGTATCCGTCTCGGCTGTAACTCCAATTTTCCAGTATTCAAGTAGCTACAATAGAACTCCATTTATCCAAACATGTTAAAGGACAAGACAGAACCGAATGGTTCGGATAATAGAGGCTTACTTATTAGGTAATGAACAAATAATGATCTGACGTTCAAAAAACTAAAGTCCAGCATGTCGAGCTTATTGGAGTCTAGTAACGAACTTCTATCTAGTATCGAACTTATTATTTAAATGTTCAGATAATAAGAGCTTAACTACGAGTTTGTATAATGTGAAATTTGTGACGATTGTATCACAGAAAAATTGTGGAGACCGCTTATTTGTCGATTCCAATATATTAGGGATGACCATCCTTTAATATATATATATTTAAAATTATGACTTAAATTTGTTCTATTCAGACTTTTAATTTTATAATTGGCTACCAAATATCTCATTATACTCTGGAACTAATTATAAGCATAAACTTGTTCGTATAAATGGAGTGCGGATAAAGAAAGTTCTACTTTATAGTCGAGAATTTTACGGATAAGTCTTACGTGTATAAAAAGATATAAAAATAGGATATTTGCAGCAAAGTCGTATTACATATCAACCAAAGAGAAATTCGCATTGATGCATGTGGAGAATTTAGCATCAGTATTATACATTCAATCTGACTGTGATACTGCTAGTGACAGGGATCGCTACGTCGTAGAGTTAATGAAACACATACAAGTCGATTCCTACGGAGCATGTGTGAATAATGCTCAGCTTGACGACAGGTATATTTACTTAACACGTTAGTTTTAAAAAGATTAAAAAGAATAAAAAATAAATACATAGGCTCAATTAGAGTATTTTGTATTTTTTTAAAAATCAAATAATAACAATAATTCGATCTTTAAAGATCGAAACTTGTATTGTATATTTAGAGTAATTATTTATATAATTTTTAGCATTGAAATCTTTCGGCTCGTATCCCAGTCATTGTTATTGTTTGATTTTTAACAATGGTTTTAGTTCGAGCAAAAATTAATGATTATAATTATCAGCGGAATAAAAATATGTCTGTTCAGGTTGAAGAACAACTACCTCAGTATTTTAAGTGATCGTGAATTCTTGTCCTTTGTGGCCAAATATAAGTTTACCATAGCCTTTGAGAATGCGATTTGTGACGATTATATCACAGAAAAACTGTGGAGGCCACTTATTGTCGGCTCTGTACCAATATATTACGGTTCACCATCCTTCAAGGTATTTCTCTTTGAACAATTACGATTTTCGAATCTCTCGCAATGAAATCTGTTTTATCTGGATTTTTTATTTTGTAGGATTGGCTACCAAATAACAAATCTGCCATCTCAATATTAGATTTCGCTGGTCCGCTAGAACTCGCCAACTTTTTGCACAATCTTTTAAAAAACGATTCCGCATACGAAGAGTACTTGTCTCACAAATTAAGCGAACGCGAAAATCGCGTTACGAATAGCAAGTTGCTACACGCACTCGAAGCGAGACCGATGGGAATTCCTAATGGATTTGGGAATTACATGGAAGAATTCGAATGCTTTGTCTGTGAACGAATACAGAATAATCGTGAAATAGAACAGAGCGTAGTAACGAAAAAACAGTACGATTGTCCTTTGCCAAGAGATCCGATAACAGGTGAAATCAATAAGCGCATCTGGTGGACCGAACAGTGGAATATTGAGAAATGCGGAGCTAAGCTGTTAACTCATTACATAACTAATAACATCAGCATTAATATAAATCGTTTCGATGAACAGAAGATGACTATGTATGATAATAATGAATGCTGAAGCACATAAAAAAAAAACAAGAAAATCTAGGATTTTTACCATTTTTGATAATATAAATACTCGAATATATACAATTTTTTTCACAATTTTTTGATAATATAAATACTCGAATGATTCTTAGTGAGCTGTAGTGGGAATTATGAATCCGAATAAATTTTATAAGTATTTCTATTTTTCTTTTTTCTTTCTTTTTTTTTTTTGGTATTGTAGAAATATTTTTTACATATTCAGTCTGTATAAAATAACGCATTAAAAATTATTAAATGCATTTTACAAAATGTATAAGCTTGCATGATACAAAAAGATTATGTTCTCGCGCGTACGTATGTACAATATATTTTTGAATTGTAGACAGTATTAGAGTTTAGCATTAAAGTCTTACTTGACTGTAAGAATTGTCGCAATCTCTACCTTATAACTGCATATTATATTAGCGATAAAATTTTGTCTCGCTTTATGTCATTTAAGTGTAGAAATAAAATATAATTTTAATAAAAAGCTACGACTTTTTTTGCACTTTAAACAACTAGTCTTTCTCAATTCGTTGATTTCATTTGCAAAACTGGAGCAGGTACCTTCATCAATTCACACAAGTTATTTCTGATTGGACGTAAATCCGCGATTGGCTGTTCCCAATCTGTAGCGTTCAATTTTGTGAGTATATTCGCTAAATCTTCCTCCGCTATATCCATCTCCTCTCCATAAAGGGTCAATGCTTCGTAAGTACGTATAGCCGTTGTCTTCCTTAAGCTCGTATATTTGTGACACAAAAATATGCTCAATTGACAAAATGCCCTCTTTGCAACAGGTCCTCGTACCTAGAAACATGATATTTAATATAACATTCAATGAGATACAATTTTAATCGTTGTGAATTTTGTAATAAATTGTATATTACAAACTATTATATACGCGCGCACGCATGCACGCACGCACACATAAAACAGTTTATAATGTATAATTCCATCAAAATCTACAATAAAATAAAAAATAAAAAAAAATATATATATATATAATTAATTACTATCATACATATAATTATCGATCGAAGAGCTTACTTAACAATGGATTAACCCACATTTTTATAAAAATGGAGAAAATAAATTCTAAAATTCATCACTTTAACTTTAGAGTTTATTTTCTCTTATGAAATGAGTTAGTCCCATTGACTTATATTATCAATTTTGCAGCAACTGAACAAGGAAAGCATCGATCCTCCCATTGTCCTCTCTCACTGATGTTGCTTTCAATGATGATGTTTTCAATGAGGACGCGCAGTCTATCTTATAAGTATGGTTAGTCAACCGTGTGGCTGCTCTTCAATTAATAATTATTCTTTTCATCAATTTTTACAAATAATTTTACAAACCTGTAGTAACTGGCAGAAAACATTTATACTGCTAATGAGCAGTTTCATATTGCTGGAATATTTTATTTCGTGTTTCAATAGTGTCAATATACGCTCTGAGATTGTATTGTCTGCATCATCTAAGACAGACTGAATGCAGCCTGAACTCAACAAACGATCCAAGAAGGCCAACATCGATGTTATCATTCTTTCATTTTTGTGACTCTCTTCAAATATATTTAATATTTTTTCACATAAATCCCTTAAACCCACCTCATCGATCTCTTGTAGATAAGTAAATAAAGAAACGCTCGAATATTTTACCTAATAAAAGATAGAGAAATTTAGTCATATAAATAGAATTGGTTAAATAATTAATAAAATTACAGATTTTACTAAAAAAAAGTCGGTTAACAATTTTTTTCAAGTAAATTAACTTATGCGCTTAGATGCTTAGATATTTTAAAATATTTTATACAAAATATGATCTCTTGATATCTCAAGATATAATGAGAGATGTCTTTGTATTATTTTTAATAAATAATTAGATATTTACCAAAGACTCGCTTAAACCGCCGACGCTAAATATAATTCCGCGTAATAAATTCATTTTATACGGTGGAAAACTTAACATCTTAATAAATCGTGGAAACGTTGCAGATTCCATTCGCCATTCGATAGTCTCCTTACATTCGTTATACGGAAATATAGCTTTCAACTCGTTATGATATGGTATATTTGCAAGTGGCGGATCGCTATGAAGAAAAAAAGATCATTTAATCATATTTAATCATATTTAATCCTAAATCTTGGTAATTAAAATTCTCCATGTTTTATTTCTAGCTTTTCTATAAGTAAAGAATTGATGTAAATTTCCAGTAAAGATATATATACACCAATGTGCTTTTACCTGTGTATAAGCGCACTGAATACAGTACCAGCCTGAGCTCGAATTCCATCGATCCTCTCGACAGCTTGCTGTGCGATACCGCCAATAATTCCAGCCATTAAATCTTCATTCAGTACAGACGATAGTTTTGCTTGCGATACTAGGTTTGTCAACACCTAGAAAAAATGTAGATATTTTAATAGAAAACAGTCTTTTTATGCACATTGGTAATAATTTTCTATAATGGAATACGTACGTGTAGTCCAATCATAGCTGCTTCTCTCACCCAAGCGCCTATATCACCACGACTATCTATCGTATATTCTTTAAGAGCCAACAAATAACAGTCGTACAGATCTGTCACAAACGACTGCCATTTGTCTGAAAAAAATTTCCTTATTCTCAATAATTTAAAATAGCATTTAAAAAATTTTGAATTGGAACGTTTTAATTAGGATAGTGAATATGTTTAATGAACTTAATTTTTTTTCACGTTATATTTTCGATTATAATGTAATTTTTTAAAACTATATATCACGAGTTTTCAAAATTTAAACACTGCAATCTTATTGTTAGTATAATGTAGATTTTATCTTTTATCACAGTTGTCTTCCATATAAGCAAAAAATCTACCATATCCATATAATCAAAAAATGTGTAATTTTTCTACAAAAATTTATTAGTCGATTTAAAATTTAGAGTCGATTTTCTTTCATTATTTCAAAAATGCAAATTTTTTACTTGTGTCACTTTTCTAGCAACGGAGCGATATATGGAATGGGGACTCACCGACTTCATCAATTCCTAATGTTTGCAGTATCATTGTTAAAGAGTGTAAAGCTTCCTTTCTACTCTCCGCCCATTTCAGTGTGTTCTCAGATACGTGAGTGCATGTGATTAACGAGCTTATAATGTCTTTCACTCTTTCACGAATTACGAACAGTGAGAAATGTCCTGTAAAAAAATGAAACCAAATGAAATAAACTAAATGGAAATATACTTGGGATGTTTGTGTAAACGGGATGTATATTTCGACTTGCCTATTGCTTGTGCAAATCCTATTCTAATGGACTGATTATTTGATTGCAGCGACTCCAGGTAACGATTGACTACAACACCTCGAGCATCGTAATCGATGTCGACGTAATATTCTAGAAAAAAGTTCGTGTGCGCTTCGGCTGCTTTTAATTTGACTGCCGAAACTTCGTGGCTCAAGCATTCTTCTAATAATTTTTGCCAGTCATCTGTATTATCAATGACAAATATTAGATACAAAAACCATTTTTTAAAAAGTACTAAAACAACTTATTTTAATTATTAATTACTTTAGAAGTACTATAGTGATTTTAGCTATTAATACGTGCCTACAACATCCGTAAAATGAATAGGAAAGTGAACAATGGAGCATTTTTTTATTAGCACAGCACAAGCTTGTTTCATTAGCTCTCCCCCAAGACCTTTAAATTGTCCTCTATTTCTGAAAGTACGCACTATATCCTGTATATCAGCTACAGCCGTGGCTCCTGAAAAATCGATTTTGTTATACAATAGATGTTTATAGAAAAATAAAAACTGATCTTCGCGTATAATTTTATATATTCTTACCGATGATACATCCAATTTTGTCATTAAAGTGATTATATAAAGCTTCGAGAATTTCCGCAGTGGCTAGCACTGCACCGTGCCTAACATTCAAGTCGATAGAATTTAGCATGTCCAACAAAGTCGGCACTATTGTATTTATCATGTAATGTGGATCAGCTGCCGTCAGATTAAAAAGCGACTGCAACAAATTACTAATGACAGAACTGAAAATTTGTAATAATGTCTCCATCCGGATTGACATCTGTAAACGTCTAAATTAATATCACTTAGTCGAAACTTAAACTTACTCTAGCCGAGAGCTCCCTGATTGCGGTATCCCAATGCGTAACCTTTTTCGCCACTAGATGATCTATCAAAGGCTTCTTGTATTCTTCGTATTGCGCGATTTGTACGCTTACAGACAGTATTATAAAAGTCAGTCGAGTTTATAAGAAACGTATAGTCATCAACTAAAAGGGTGCAACATTTTTTTCATTTTTGAAACAGTATTCAATGAGCAATTGATTCCCACCAGTGGATCTAACTAATTACGTTCAACCGCTTCACGAGCAAAACTGCATTCCAAAACCCATCAAAATAAAAAGTGTTGCAATCTTTTAGTTGATGATTATACAAGTCGGAATATTTTATTGTCAAATTCTTTTTACCTGATTTTAAGGTACGTATGACTCCTTACGCCAACTTCAAAATAGTCAGCGACAGTCAGTATGTCTATACCATGTGGAAAGTTGCCTTGTCTGCCAACGTTCTCTTGAAATGCCGCAGACGCCGCTCTCCTACAGTTTATCTATCAATGCACAATAACATACGTGAATTATGAATGTAATGAAAGTGAGAATTATGTATAAATCAGAGTCGGGAAAGTTTTATAATTTTACAAAAGTAACTCATTGCCGTTAATGAGTAAAAAAAAAAATTAACAAGCTGTTACAATTTTTCCGTTACTTTTTCATTGAATTTTGATGATCTTTTTTTTTAAGTGGCAACTGTCAAACGTAACACTCCTTTCTTCTAAAACTTGCTTATCCACGTTCTGTACGTATTGTACAACAAAGTAAAAGTTATATCCGTTACCCAAAAAATGTAATCATTAACGTTGCAAATAAAGAAATATAATGTCGTTATCCAATTCATTACTAAAAATTAATTATAACGGTAACGATGTTACAAATAAATGCGTTACTTCCCAACCCTGGTATAATGTACAACTCGTACCTCTCTATCGAAGCACGTTACAACTAATAACATTGCTGCAATTTCTTTGACATAACGTTCGAAAACATGCGGATCGTAGGCTCTTGGAAAAGACCAACATATGTAACAAGCGGCATCCCTGATCAAATAACCAATCGATCCGTAAGCTCTAGGTTCGTCAAAGACTAAGGCCTGCAGAACCACGGGAATGACATCGCTCAAACGATGAGGTAACAATAGGCCACGTCTTCCTGAAATATACACAATAAAAATGTGTGTATGTATATGTATATATTATAAATATACATAAATATATATTTATATATGTGCCACTTATATGTATATATATATATATATATATATATATATATACATATATATATAAAGTGATAGAAGATAGAATAAAAATTCTATTACATCGACGAATATCTCGTCGATGTCTATTATAACGCTAATGGAGCTGTTGAGCCAAGCTAGGTGTAACGTGCTAATGATCTTTTCTGAACTGTGATGGTAAACAAAATTTATTATGAAACTACTTAATGTACAAATTATAACAGACGTTTCGACCCTTTTACATAGCGGTCATTTTCAGTGGGCATATAACGAATTAAATAACCAACCTTATGCACATGTAAACGAATTACGTTCGCAATTTATAAAAGTCCGATGTTTTACAATTTTTGTTTTGGTTTCTAGATTTTTTGGAAAGCATCCTTAGTCCGTGATTTACAAATAGGTGTATGTTTGAATATCCAGAAATCATATGAATTATTAAAAAAACGTTTTTCCTTCTTAAAACGTGCACATTGTGTCAATGACGATTGGAGAATATGAATATGTTTTTTAATAATTCATATGATTTCTGGATATTCAAACATATACCTATTTGTAAATCACGGACTAAGGATGATGCTTTCCAAAGAGTCTAAAAACCAAGACAAGAACTGTAAAACATCGGACTTTTATAAATTGCGAGCGTAATGCGTTTACATGTACATAATGTTGGTTATTTAATTCGTTATATGTCCATTGAGAATGACCGCTATGTAAAAGAGTCGAAACGTCTGTTATAATTTGTACATTAAGTAGCTTCATAATAAATTTTGTTTACCATCACAGTTCAAAAAAGATCATTAAGACGTTACACCTAGCTTGGCTCAACAGCTCCATTATCGTTATAATTTGATTATGAGCCTTTGATAATTTGCGTTTTATTTTAAATAAAAATTCTAATTACATTTCTAAACGTGAAATATACTTACCAAGTTCTGCGAGCGCCAAACAACCACCGTGCCACGCTGAATCTGATTCACGCCCGGAAAAAAGATTTAATACAAAACCCAGGACATCGTCAGCTAAGTCTACTGGCAATCTCGCGGTTATTCTGCCAATACCTTTTGCTGCAGACCACCTATGTCATAATATAATAATATAATACTATCATTATTAATCATTAATAACATAATAGTAATATAAATTAATATAATAGAATAATAAATCATACTAAATATATGAAAGCATAGTTACATAATATATAGTTAAACTATTATATGTTATTATACAGTGTGTGTGTGTGTGTGTGTGTGTGTGTGTGTGTGTGTGTGTGTGTGTTTGAGAGTGTGAGTGTTGAGTGTGTTTGAGTGTGTTTGAGTGTTGAGTGTGTTTAAGTGTTTGAATGTGTATGAGTGAGTGTGTTGAGTGTTGAGTGTGTTTGAGTATGTTGAGTGTGTTTGAGTGTTGAGTGTGTTTAAGTGTTTGAATGTGTATGAGTGAGTGTGTTGAGTGTTGAGTGTGTTTGAGTATGTTGAGTGTTTGAGTGTGTTTGAGTATGTTGAGTGTGTTGAGTGTGTGAGTGTGTTGAGTGTGTTTGAGTGTTGAGTGTGTTGAGTGTTTGAGTGTGTTGAGTGTGTTCGAGTGTGTTGAGTGTTTGAGTGTGTTTGAGCGTTTGAGTGTGTTTGAGCGTGTGTGTATACACACACACGAACGCACGCACACGCAAACACACACACACATACACACGCACACACACACACACACACACACACACACACTGTATAATAACATATAATAGTTTTAACATATAATAGTCCGCGAGATTGTACACACACGCACACGCGCGCACACACACACACGCGCGCGCGCGCGCACACACACCACGCACGCACACGCACGCACACACATTGTATAATAACATAATAGTATAACTATAATATATATACACATATATACAAGGTATCCCCGTGTAAGTAGCCACCTCTTTTTATCTCGTAAACTAACAGAACTGGACCTAATAAATATAATATCAAATTAAACGGCTCTGACTAAACTTTATTGTAAGCACAGTGATCACTTAGAAACATTATTTATGTTAGAGAGCGGAGAAACA